TTTCATACCTTTTTTATCTAGGCTAAGTATTGGATTTATTATAAAGTATATAATTTTTATTTTGATATCTCCTTTAACCCATGTGCTTTTTCCTGAGAGTATAGATCAAGAGAATATGTTAGTTATTTTACTATTTTGTAAGCAGCGAATACGTCCTGTATCTTTTTCAGCCCTTGTTGAGATTTAATTTGCTATTTCACTCATGGTCAATTTTTGTCCAATATTCCATGTGAATTTGAAAATAATGTAAGTTGCCTATTTTGAATACAAGATGGTATAGGTATAAGTATAGTTATAATTAATCTTGTTAATCATGTTCTTCAAATCCTCTATATCCTCAATAAGTTTCAGTCAATTTGATCTGTCAATTCCTGAGAAAAGTATGTTAAAATCATCACTGTGATTGTTGACTTATCAAAAGTCCTTATGTGTACATTTCTGTGAGTACTTGCACGTGTGTGTATCTGTGTTAAGTGCAAACAATTCATGATCATTCTTAATGGATCACTACATTTATGAATATGAAATATCCTTCTTCTAGTGCTATGTATATGTATTTTTTACATCTACATCTTTCTAACTTCCGCAGTAATAATATCTACATCTTCCTCCTGAATAGAACATAAATCTTACTTAGCCTGTTTTACTTTTCTTCACTCTTGTCCTCCCAACCTCCTTTCCATATTATCTAGAATTTAATTCCAGGCTTTCTTTTTGATTTTTTAGAATCAAAACTTACATTGACTTAGCAATATATTTTATCAGGTACATAGCCACCTTTTCTTCTGGTATCCCACATCTTCCCTCAGAATCTTTTTTTTAATTCTTGCTGGAATACAACTCTAGTAATTCTTTTAGAAAGAGTCTGACAATTCAACCACACTTAAAATGATAGTTTGATTGAATATAGAAGTTTAGTTTCAAGTGTTTTGGGAGGCTGAGGCAGGAGGATCGCTTGAGCCCAGGAGTTCAAGACTAGCCTGGGCAATATAGCGAGACCCCATCTCTAAAAAAATAAAAATGAAAAATTTAGCCAGGTGTGGTGGTGCACACCTGTAGTCCTAGCTACTTGGGAGGCTGAGGCAGGAGAATTGCTGGAGCCCAAGAGTTCGAGGCTACAGTGAGCTATGATTGTGTCACTGTACTCCAGCCTGGGTAACAGAGCAAGACTGTGTCTCTAAAAACATTTTTTAAATTTAAAAAGTTTAGTTTCAAAATTCTTTTCCCTAGATTTTTAAAAAATGCTTCATTGTCTTATATCCAGTGTAGCCCAAATGAGAAGTCTGATGTAAATTCAATTACCATTTCTTTGTTAGCATTTTTTGAGTGTTTTTAGAACTCTCTCTTTAACCCTTGTTCTGAAATTTTGTCACCATGAATCTAGGTGAGGAGTCTTTTAATTTCTTTGTGTATATTCAGCGTTTAATAGGACCTTGTAGTCTGAGGATGTACGTATACATGTATTTAGTTCCTGTGAAATATCCTTTTAGTCATTTCCCCATGACTTTGGTTGTATAATGCATAACAGTAGGGGACGCCATTGGCAAAGATTATGATTTAAATGATGTTTCCTGAAGTTGTGCTAATGCACAATCAGCAAATTTTATTAAACAGATCTTTATTTCTTATATTTTCCTCTATTCCCTCCTCAAACTTATCATATTGATTTTCAGACATCTGAATCTTTCATGTCATTTAAATTTTCTTTCATATTTTTCATCTTTGTATGTGTCTTTTTATATGGCTTTGTGGAGGAATTTCAGGCTTGATCTTTCAGCTCATCTGTTTTAACTATGTCTGTCCTATTCTGGATTTAGCCCTTGTTGAATTTTTATGTCAATAATCAGATTAAAAATGTCCAAGATCTTTAATTTTTCTTGCATTATCCTGTCTTATATCTCTGAGGATATTAAGTACACTTATTCCGAGGTCTCTTCAGTTAACTCTCTTTCTTTGGGTTCCACTGTTTGCTGAGTTGGGTGTCTCTGATTTTATTGACTCATCCCAAATGTTTGATGACTCTAGGTTATGTGTTTGTCTTTGCCTGGGTTGTTCCTTTGCCTGTGCCTGTGATGAGGGATGGAATACAATATATAGTATAATACTAGGTAAGTTTCCAGTAGTCCTTTCAGCATGGGAGCTCCCAATTACCTGGTACATTTTCCTGCTCTCTGAACCAAATGCCACACTCACTGTTGGAGTCAAAGATTTCCATGGCTTGTTACATTCCCCAAGGTAGGAGAGAGGTAGATATGAATAAACCTTACCGGCTGTTCTTGCTGTGGTATCCAAACAGTCACCCTGTCAGTTGCCCCAAGACGAACTTTTGCTTGCAGTATCCTATTCCAAAGAGTTTGGATCATTTTTTTTGGTCCACTCATCGGCAGAAGTCCTCTATTGCACTCTTTACTCTCATCCCATCTGTCATCTTTTTTGTCAATTATCTATCATTTCTAGGAATTTGAGGTGGAAGATGGGAAGAATGCAACATATCTTCAGTACACTATCTTGAATCAGTAGCTATTTTCACTTGTGTGGTAGAGTTAGGAAACTTGCATAGCACTCAATGGGACTTCTCTACTCCAAACATCAACTAACATTTATTGAATTGTTAATTAAGTGTGAAACATTAATCTAAGCATTATTATATGTATTTACTCATTTATCCTTCATAAAAACATTATGAAGCAAGCATTACTATTATTCCCAATTTTCAGATGAGAAAACACACATTAAGAAACTTGCCCTACTCAAACTACTGAAAAAGAGCAGAACCAGGCCATACACCATGTGGTCTGTCTCAAGAGCCTGTATTCTTTACTAATATGCTATACAATGGCATATCCATAAGATTTTAGGAACACATCATCCCTCTACCCTGCCAGGAAGGGTCAAATGCATTTACTTTCACCTCTCTATGCTGTAGGACGCTATATTTCCATCCATTGACTTAATCTACATGATGTAGTTCATATATACTAATATAATCTATATATTATTTCCTCATGCCAGGAAGAATAGTCACAGCTTTTCTGGTTTGCTTTGCTTTTATAATCTTTGAGACTCTACTTTTCCCCCACTGTACATGATTTACATATACTAATCTATAAATATTTCTCTATTATGCTCCTTTCCCTCCCAAACACATCCCCACGACCATAAATACCATGAAATAAACTTCCCTTAGACAAATGAAAAAGTTTCATACCTTTTTTATCTAGGCTAAGTATTGGAATTCAAGTTTTACCTTGGTTAACTCTCCAGCTAATCCTAAAATTGTATTCTTCTCTACACATACTTGCTGTTTCTGGAAAAAAAAAAGTTATTTAAGAATAATTTCTATTGCCCAATACCTTGATACTAATGTGAAAAAATTATGAAAATCAGAATTCAAACTCCTAAAAAGATATAGGAAAAATCTCCTACAAAGACACTTAGGTAAGTAAAATCATTCAAATTTTCATAGTGCAGCAAGAAGAGAGTGAAGAAGCCTAAGAAAAAAAAGGATGTTTCCTGGCTGGAACTAATCTTATGGTTGATAGTCACAGGGGTAATCAGCATACCTTTCTCCTGCTCATTATTCTACATATAGAATATGAGTCTTGAGTAAGTAGACAGCCAAACTAGATGAAATATAGTTCCAGAGAGATATTTTAAGTAGTTTAAGGCCTAACAACCCTAGGATCAGGAATTTTCTTCTTAAGAACACTGAATAACTGTTGCCCAGGGTTATATCTGTGGTGTGTCTGAACTCTGTTTTACACTCCTTTCTGGCCAAGAGAGTTTTCCTGCAATGCATTTTAAAATGATAATCCCACAAAGTAGAAACTAAGACTTATGCAAAATTAAAACATTATTGCCAAGGAAAAAACAACAAGGTCTTATTTTTAGGTATATGTGATGCCCCTGAGTGTTAAAAACACTAATATCAAAGGAATGATATGGATTTTCACCTACCTCCTGTTAATTTATAATTATTGCCTTTGATCATGTGAAGCAACTGAGATAATTTGCTCCTTACTTCACTTCACTAATCTGCATCCTTCATTTCTTGCCACAGTATTCTTTCCTCTGGGTGCCTGGTGCTGCTCCAGTCCCTAGATCTCTCTTTTTCTTTCTCTAAATATTCAACTAATCCCAAGCTGTGTTACCTCTTCACCATTCTTGGGACAGTGGACCAGCATTCAGGTTTGGATTCTCCAAGGAAAAATATAAGGAACTGCTCAAGCTCTAATAGTTCTTCTACTTTGCTGTTTCTAGCTTTGGCCATCCAAAGCAAAGTCCTTGGATTGGTTAACAGTGAGATACTCTCTAGCTTCTATTTTTTTTTTTTTTTTTTTTTTTTGAGACAAAGTCTCACTCTGTTGCCCGGGCTAGAGTGCCAGGGGGTCAGCCTAGCTCACAGCAACCTCAAACTCCTGGGCTCAAGCGATCCTCCTGCCTCAGCCTCCCGAGTAGCTGGGACTACAGGCATGCGCCACCATGCGCGGCTAATTTTTTCTACATATTTTTAGCTGTCCAATTAATTTCTTTCTATTTTTGGTAGAGACAGGGTCTCGCTGTTGCTCAGGCTGGTCTCAAACTCCTGAGCTCAAACGATCCGCCCATCTCGGCCTCCCAGAGTGCTAGGATTACAGGTGTGAGCCACTGCGCCCGGCCTCTCTCTAGCTTCTTAAACCTCTTTTTAGTAGAACCACCTAAAATATTAATATGTCATCTACTGCTTAGTGAGTTCTTGGCCTCCCAAAAAGAAATCTTGTGGTCTTGGGACTCTGTCATCTCACCTATTTGCCTTTTGGACTGTAATTTGAAAAAGAAAAAGTCTTCCTTGTATTCTTAGGAAAACTTTGGCTCCTGAATAGATGACAAGAATAGAACTTCACCTTGAAAATGCTGGAAACAATTGAACAAGCAGAAGTGATCAACTCACTGACACTCTTCACAGAAATAGAAAAAATAATCCTAAAATTTATATGGAACCACAAAGATCCAGAATAGCCAAGGCTGTCCCGAGCAAAAAGAACAAAACTGGAGGAATCATATTGCTTGACTTCAAATTATACTACAAAGCTGTAGTAAGCAAAACAACATGGTACTGGCATAAAATAGACACATAGACCAATGGGACAAAATAGAGTACCCAGAAATAAATCCACGCATCTATAGTGAACTTATTTTTGACAAAGTTGCCAAGAACACATGGTGGGGAACGGGCAGTCTCTTCAATAAACTTCGCTGGCCCAGAACTTTGTCTTGAGGACAAACTGGATGCAAGAGAAGCTGGTAAATTAGCCTTTAATTGAGAAGTTATGCACCCAGAAAGCAGGGAGTTCAAGTAAGCAGGGAAGAATAGGTTTTATTGATATCAGCCTGACTCAGAAATAAAAAAGTAAATAAATACATTAGTGTTCAGATAGTATACAGAGGAAAATTAAGAAAGGCCTGGGGATAAGAGTACCAGGAAGTAAGCAGAGGGAGAAGAAGTGGCTTGTTATCTTACCTAAGATGGTGAGGGACGGCCTGAATAATAAGTTGGTAAGGTACCTTCTGAGTAGAAACCTGAAAGAAATGAAGAAACCAGTCATGCAAATGTCTGAAGAGAGTCTTCTGAGATGAGGAAATAGAAATTGCAAAAGTCCTGAAATCAGAAGGCCTTGGTGTATTCAAGGAAGAGCAAGGAGAAGAGTGTGATGAAATGGAGCAAACAGCAGGGGGAGAGTGAGAGATGAGATGAAAGAGGAGTGTGTGGGCCTTGACTCTTAGCCACTGGAGGGTTTTCAGTTGGGGAGGAAGCTGTGGGAATGACGTGAGCTGACTTCTGCTTCAAAAAGTCTGTTTCTAGGCCAGTTGCAGGTGACTCATACCTATAATCCCAGCAGATTGGGACGCTGAAGCAAGAGGATTACTTGAGGCCAGGAGTTTGAGGCCAACCTGGGCAACATATCGACATTCCATCTCTATGAAAAAAAAAAAAATTAGCCAGGTGTGGTGGCACACACCTGTAGTCCCAGCTACTCGGGAGCCAAGGTGGGAGAATTCCTTGAGCCCATGAGTTCAAGGCTGCAATGAGTTATGATCGTGCCACTGCACCCTAGTCTGGGTGACAGAAAGAGACTCTGTCTCTAAAAAAAAAAAAAGTTTACTCCAGCTGCTTTGTGGGAAATAGAAAAGGGAGAGGGCAGAGGCAGGAAGACCACTTAGAAGGCCATTGCAAATATCCAGGAGATGTGGTGATGGCCTGGGGCAGGGAAATAGCAGTGGAGGTGGTGAGATGTGGTTGGATACTAGATGTATTTTAAACCAAGAGGATTTTTGGATGAATTGTATTCGGGGTAACTATAAAAAGGCTTATCCATTCACCACTCTAATAGTCACACCCAAAGGAAAGACAATCTCAGAACAAGAAAATCAAATTTCTCTCAGGCCAGGACCATGGTGAATAAAGCTCTACCTCTAACAGTTTTGAGATGCTATAAACCAAGTGTGATGTGACTGAAATTGCTTTGCATTCCGCAGGTTAGAGGGTGGAACAGCCAGAGCAGTTCTATATGATGACATAAAATAACAGTCTATGTGAAAATAGAAAATGTTTTAAAGAGATATATTACAGTAAAAGAAAAATGTTACAAGCTAGATAAGGGGTAAGGAATTAATAACCTCTAATCGCAGAATAAAAATGAAATGATGGAGAATTCCATCTGCCCAAATCAGATTATTAAAAAGTTGAAAGATGTTACCATGAAAATTGGGTACAACTAAAACTTTTTTTAAAATCCCAGAGGATGCTTGGTGCACACTAGTCACAAAGAAAATTCCAGTTAACCTTCATAGACTTGGCGAGGTGGGCATTTTAGTTTCTCCATCACTTAGCATAGTACCTGGCACCATGTAAATTCTCCTCATGGAGCTTTTCTAAACTGTTTAATCAGATGCAACCTTTCACTCTCAACTCACATGACATTTCCTTCTGACCCCTCTTTTGGGAATAATGTATCTTGCTTAAATTGTAATTATCTTTATACCAGTGTAATCCCCTTAGATGCATTTGCATCTTTTTATCCTCTATCTCACTGCTTTGTTCATATTATATGTTCAATATATATTTGATAATATATGATGAAAAAACACAGCCTGCTTTTGCTTTTCAAAAGTTTATTAATGTTGACATTGTGGGACCTAAAAGATTTGTATGAAGTTTTCTATTCTTGCCAAGTCATATGATCTGTTATAGTTCAACTATAGTTAACCAAATGTAAAAAAAAAGAAAACACTTCTATAAGATCTAGTAACTCCCAAACAATCTTGCTCCTTCCTTGTTAAACCCGGACATTCTTTGATAGCTTTTTATCCCACAAAGAGGTCATATACTTATTTTCTGTTGTCCTGTACTTGAATTATGATTGTCCAAATTCAATTGTATTAAGTTCCACTTTGAGACCAGCTTTAGTAATTGTACCAGTTTTAAAATAAATTCTCTAAAAATCATAACAGAAGATGAAACTGTCATCTTCTGTCATCATCTTTGTAGGTTTCTATACATACCACAATTCATTCACCAATCCTTAAAGAGATGACATAACCCATCTCAATGACATTTGACCTGACCCAGGCCAAACCCATTTCTACACAACTGCAGTGCTCTCTGGATCTGATATTTGAAGCCCTTTTTCCTAATACCACAAACCATTTTTGTCTTCTCAAATGCACCTTTCTCCTCATCCTTATTCAAAGCACTGGAAAAGCAGAACATTTCTCCAGCACCTCAAACCAGGGAGACAAACCTCCACTCTAATCTCATTGTTTTGGCTACAAACACATTGGCTGAAGGAAAGCTACCAGGTGTAGTACTTTATCTACCATTTTCAGGATTTTTGAATCTCTAACAGTTGTTTAAACTGGGACAATAATTATTAAGGACAATTAAAAGAGTGTCCTGGGCTAAAGGAGCAAGAAAACGTTAGGAAAAAAAGTGAAGAAAAATAGTAGAGTACTTGAATCTACCACTGTCAGATCAATTTTCTATAATAGTATTCTAAGGACTGGGCAATCAGTCAACAAACTGTCATTGAGAAACCGTTTTATTATAGGCATTGGGATAGCCTTTGCAGAATACCAAGAAGTATGTCTCTATAGTAGAAGACAAGTTAGCAAATGTAAAAAAGAAAGAAAGAAATTGAGGAACAAGGCTACAGTTTACAAAGCTACATAACTGTTAATTGTGCAAGGAACACGGTCATAAGAGCTAAAAGGAGAAAGACTTCCCTGAGAACTAGAATGACATGAAAAGGTTTCTCAGAGCGAAACTTGAAGAACGGGCAGATCGATAGGCTTTGCATAGTCTAGAGACCTAGACTAAGTGCCAAAATTTAGGAGAACAAAAGCACAGAAAAAAATTTAAGATGTTAATATGTTACAAGACAGTAGAACACTTCGGCTAAGCTGGAAGACTAGGGAAAATAAGTATAATAATTGAAGAAGGCAAGTTTTGGCCAGATGACAGCAGGCCTTCAGTTTCAGGATGAGTTGGAAGTTAATCTTTTGGTCAATGGTAATGAATGATAGCTTTTGAGTAGTTGAGTCAGCAATTCTTTAACAACTTCAAAAGGGAATTCCTGACTTCAGGACCCTAGGCTAGGAAGAGATTGAATAGACTCTCTAATGGCTCAATTGGGTAGAAAACAGACCACTTTGGCCCTCTCACTTGTGGTAGTAAAATAAGTTACTTTTTCCTACCATAAAATGTGCCATACATGATTTCTTGCACTAGAAATTTTGGATTCTCAGTTATCTTTCCCTGGCCTCTTATCTGATAGTTATCAGAAAAAGGCCAGGGAAAGATGACTCAATTGGGAATCTTAATTTTCCAGTGGAAAAAAAATCATATATACATTTTATGCAACTTTTAATTGGCTGTAGATTTGAACTCCTACATTATAAAATAAAATTCATTTTAAGGACAAAGTTGTCATGTAAATTTCGAGATTGGTCAAGAATAGCTTAATTTCAAAGCTTGAGTGTCAAATGAATTGTAGACTAAGATTTTTCCTATTGCCCCAAGGGTATATTTTATTTGGTAAAAGAAACATCCACTAGCTTTTGTCAGGATCAGTCTTGAGTTATACAAGTTTTGAACTGAGAAGTCTTCGGAAATTCATCTCACATGTAACTGTGGCCTTTTGTATACCGTAAATCCCCTCTCCATTCATCCTCAGATTGTTTACTTTCTCAGAATATCTGTGACACGAGGACTCTGACACTCTCACAGGTGGATTAACATTTGAGGACCTAACATGCAAGCACCAAATATCTCCAAATCCTATTAAAACATACATGCCCTTGAGAACACTAAAAACCACCTCTCCAGATCCCACTTCCAACCTGAATCAGGAAACTTCAGGAGAGCCACCTGGAAATGTGTTTATAAAAATCACCTTGGTGCTTGTTAATCAGTAAAGTTTGTTACAGAACTAAGAGTCCTTGCCCTGGAGGAGGTAGTTTTCCTGTGGAGAAGGACCTGTAAACAGTCACAATAAGGCTATGGAATGCTCAGCTTTCAGCAAGTAAAGAGCAGTAACATGGTCTAAGTAGGGTTGAGGGAAGGCTTGACCGAAATCAAGATTTAATCCTGAAGGTTAGGGAGATCTTTGGGTGCTGAGTTTCAGTCTCCACACAAGGATCAACATCATGGGCCAGGTAATTCTTTGTTGTGGGGAGACTGTGCTGTGCATACGATGTTTAACAGTCTCTGCCCATTCCTAGCCTCTGCCCATTTAGATACCAGAAATTTTATCTCCACATATTGCCAGATGTCCCATGGGAATGAGGAAGAAAGGGCAAAAATCTCTCCCTGGTTGAAGGGAGAAGTTATAGGAGGAGCTAGATCAGGACTCACAAGCAGGCCAGTGGAGAAAAAGCACATGACTCTATCGAACAAAATTTGTGACAGATACCTGCAGGTGTAAAAGAAATAAATAGGTTAAAACACTAAGCAGCAGCAAGTGGGAAGAGGGGCAAGGTGGGGCTTCCCGTCTGTACGCTAGGGAAAGTTAACTCTCGCCTTGTTCGGTACTCAAAAAGAAAGCAAAAATAGAAGTACAGCTTTGGAGACATAGGCATAAGAATCAAGTGGGGCTGGGGGACACTCCTCCTTAAGAAAAAAAACACCACACTCAGAACTGTGCTGAAACCTTTTCTCTAAGTTAGCGTACCTTCACACTCGGCTAGACTGCGTAGGGACGATTTTGAGGATTAGCCATTGTTAACAGCAGGACTCACATGACGAGACTACAGGAGGCCCCCCAGTCCTTAAACCCAAATGCGTTTAATGATCACGGTCACACGCTACTTAACGAAAAGCTAACCAATCCTCATAACGAGTGTTTACAGCCACTTTTTACTGACAACTGAAGTGGCTCTGAAAAGAGCCTTTGGGGTAAAGCAGTTGATCTAGTGTGCCCCTTGAGCACCCTTACTTAGAGCTGGTGTACTTGGTGACCGCCTTGGTGCCCTCGGACACGGCGTGCTTGGCCAGCTCGCCGGGCAGCAGCAGGCGCACGGCCGTCTGGATCTCGCGGGACGTGATGGTGGAGCGCTTGTTGTAATGCGCCAGGCGGGACGCTTCGCCGGCGATGCGCTCGAAGATGTCGTTGACGAACGAGTTCATGATGCCCATGGCCTTGGACGAGATGCCGGTGTCCGGGTGGACCTGCTTCAGCACCTTGTACACGTAAACGGAATAGCTCTCCTTGCGGCTGCGCTTGCGCTTCTTGCCATCCTTCTTCTGTACCTTCGTGACAGCCTTTTTGGAGCCCTTCTTGGGAGCAGGAGCTGATTTTGCTGGATCCGGCATTTTCAACGCACTGAAGCAGAAGACACCAAAGGAAGTAATCCCCGACTACAACAAAACAGCCTAGTTACGCACTACTTATAGAGCTTGTATGCAAATGAAGGCTCACACAGTGGTGCGTTTTTATTGGTTAATTCACAAGTGTCGTCATAGAGGGGTGGGGTCCATGTAAATAATAGATTGGCCGCGCTTCCTTAGTGGTCATTAGAACAAGTCTTGTTAACCAATCAAAATGTTTCATTTCACACTAACCATTTACGTAAAGCGAGTTTCACCTCTTTGGGGTCTTTGTTGTTTTTCACTTTCAATTGTAGTCATGAAATCCTAAATGCTAACTAAAGACAAGTTAACTTTTCCCTTTTATACTATGTGGAAGTTTTGTTTTTTTCTCGTTTCTTGGAACAATACCTCAGCCTGTACATTGAAGTCTCTAGGCATTTACTTCCCTCCTTAAATGACTGCTCCGGTTTGCGCACCGCCTGTATTGTGTAATGAGGAAGATCTAAGTCTTAATTTACGCTTATAAAATTCCTAAAGGGTTTATGATTTAAGACGGACTCGCCTCCACCCGTCCTCAGGATCTTACATATCTCGGGATTTAGCACAATGTCTCTTGCCCCAAGCAGTTTTCCTTACAGAATCGGTTAAAGTTGGCGCTCTAGTTTTAAACCAACAAGTAAAGGCAGGGTTGGCGGGAACCACAGAGACCACGCCTCTGCCGCGGGCCAAGTGACATGTGGATTCTGTAACATCTACCACTGCCAGCGTTCCCTAACCCCGCTACTCAGAACACCAGCGTAGAACAGACGGCCACCAGCTGAAAAGCTGGTACAGCTGCTCTTGATGAAAACGTGAGTGGCTCTGAAAAGAGCCTTTATATCGACTACTTAAAAACGCATGCCCTAGGCCCGCTCCCCGCGGATGCGGCGGGCCAGCTGGATGTCCTTGGGCATGATGGTCACTCGCTTGGCGTGGATGGCACACAGGTTCGTGTCTTCGAACAACCCCACCAGATAGGCCTCGCTCGCCTCCTGCAGCGCCATCACAGCCGAGCTCTGGAAGCGCAGGTCCGTCTTAAAGTCCTGCGCGATCTCGCGCACCAGCCGCTGGAAGGGCAGCTTGCGGATCAGCAGCTCGGTGGATTTCTGGTAGCGCCGGATCTCCCGCAGGGCCACGGTGCCCGGCCGGTAGCGGTGCGGCTTCTTCACGCCGCCCGTGGCCGGCGCGCTCTTGCGGGCCGCCTTGGTAGCCAGCTGCTTTCTCGGGGCCTTGCCACCGGTCGACTTGCGAGCGGTCTGCTTTGTGCGAGCCATGACAGTTCACTAGTTTTATTCAAGCAGCCCTACGCAGGCCTATTTATAGACATTGCCTCGTTTTGATTGGGCCAGAAAAGTGAGGCGTTTCCGAACTCGTGACCTCATTGGTTAAAATTCAATCCTATTTACTGAAGTAGAAGATTGTTCTGCTAATCTTCCCTTATTCCTTCCTCTTTTCCCTTTTCTATAATTTTATTGATCCTGGAATTTTTTTAGGCCTTTCTTTAAATTGCTGTAACTTTTGTAAAAGCAATGTATAAAGTGTTTTTCATACTTTAACAGGTTTCTTCGAATACAAGCATGCCTTTCTATGAGCTAGGTTTCAGCCTACGTTTTAAGTTACCTCTTACTGTAACACTCTAACTGTAACACTTCCACCACAGCCAACAGCTGTGCTCAGCAGGTTAGATGCTTTATATCTTGACTGAAGCTTAACAAAACAATGTAGTTGAAGGAATCAAAAATTAAACTTAACATATACTTGACTTCTGAACCCAGCCATACCCGTTTCATCTGTAGTGTGCTGACCCCTACCAACTTGATATTAGAGATTCTGATTTCGTTCAGCCATTTCCACCTGTGATGTAGTTTCCCTCTTCCTCACCCCCACATTAATGGCCAGTTAGGTCCTGCAAATGAAATGCTTCTAAGTCAAAGATAACACCAGAAATATTAATTTCTCCTTTATAATGTAGAATACTCTATAGTCAAGTGCTTACCAACCAGATTACAAATTAAAACAAAGTTTCAAAGCAAATTATTCATTGGTTACTAAATTGCTAACGTTTTCTTCAATAAAGTGTTTTAAAATGTTTAAAAATTTAATATTTTTCCTATTCTCTATGAAGAGAGTGAAGATCCTTTGCCTTTTAGTTATTTCATATGCCTTGAGGTATGTATTGTTCAAAAAAGTGCATGTCATAGCAATGGTTATGACACCTAAAAGTTGTATTAGTTAATATACAACTTGTAATCATATGCTTATTTCACTGAAAAATCATTGCATACAAACCTTATAAAAACTCAAACCTGAGAACAAAAGCAGGCCCAAGAAGCTTAAAACTTACCTTGATGGTATCATTATGAATTACCATCTTCCTACAGAAGTCACAGTAAAATAAAAGTGATTTTGTTACAGCAAGTGTTACAGCGGGTGGTCCTGAGGACAAACCGAGGGGCACATGGAGAGTCGGAGAGTCAGAAGTTTATTTGCCGGCGGGCTCAGAGGGGTCTCACCACCAATTCTGAGCCCCGTCTACCCAATTTTTCACACTTTTATTAAGTTGGGGTGGTCTGAGGGGTGGGGTATCAGGTGGCTAATGCTCACCAGGTAATAGATTAGTCGATGTGTGAGGTAACAGGTAAGTATTATGTTGATGCACCAGGTAATAGGGTAGTTGATGCGCCAGGTAATAGGTGTTATGCTGATGTGCCAGGTAATAGATTAGTTGATGGGCCAGGTGGTAAGTTAGTATTATGCTGATGCGGGTCTTCCGTGAGGGGTGGGGGTCTCAGGTGGCCGTCACGCTGCCAAGTAATAGATGGGGGTTTTCCTTCTCAATTTCAAGGGGATTTCCTGAACACTAAACACAATGTAGAAATTTGTTAGCTTAATTAAAATCTTCAAGAGTTTCTCATGGGTAGAAGCAACCTTCTCTAGGGAGATCTAAAATATCATACAAAAACGTAACTGATATGAACAAATGTCCCTCCCTGTGGTGTTTTTGTAATAGTGTCTTACATATAGAGAGCACTACTCAATGTTTAAAAGATCTTCTACATACCTTATATCATTTAATCCCAATTCTGTGAAATAGATGCTATTTTCCTCACTTTACAGATAAGAAAACTGAGTCTCAGAGAAATAATGGCTTGTCCTGTATAAGAAACAAAGCCTGCATAATATTCTAAAGCAAAAGAGTAAAATTATTGCGATGGAATTCTCATTTTTTTAGGCTTAAGGGATACATTTTAAAAGCACAGAAGCATTTTCCCATCACGTAATCAAACCATCCAGTGTTTCTCAAACTTCTCCACCGAACTATTCCCATCAGAAGGGGAAACTACCTCATACAGTCTGGCTGCCAGTCCAAGGTAGCCCACTCAAGTGTCACATTTCTTTGCAATTTTCTTTCTTTATGATGTATGTATTCTTGACCATAATGTATGGATGTGGTTGTTTTAAATAACAAAAAGATTCTCAAGCTCTATAGTCAAATATAGAATTTAGGAGTCATGAGACTTATTTAACTTTTATAGTTAATAAGCGTGGATGGCACACAGGTTCGTGTCTTCGAACAACCCCACCAGATAGGCCTCGCTCGCCTCCTGCAGCGCCATCACGGCCGAGCTCTGGAAGCGCAGGTCCGTCTTAAAGTCCTGCGCGATCTCGCGCACCAGCCGCTGGAAGGGCAGCTTGCGGATCAGCAGCTCGGTGGA